AGATGAAGATGCAAATACCCACGTTTGCACAATTTCGAGTCGATTTCTTCTTTTTGCGACAAGATCCGTAGCAGCACTGAATCCACATTCGACAAGTTAGGAGGCAGGGAAGGCAATTAAAATTTTTTTAACGATATTCTACAGTCCAAGATAGAGACGACTGTTACCTTTAACACTAGATTGCCCATGGAAGTCATTTTGACTGCTTTTTAATTTCAATTAAAAAAACAATGATAACAAAATTTCTTAGAATTTTGTAACTTTTTGTACAGCATATAATTTTTTTATTGTTAATATTTACAAATAACTTGTTATATAACTGAAAATAATAACAAAATTTTTTAATTTTACTTTAAACAAATTTCTTTATAAATTAGTTATGCTTTCTTTATTCATTAGTTATTCTATGCAGTCATTTTGACTGCTTTTGAGCAATATAGGTATTTCAGTCTTTTTAGTGCTAAGTAAAAATTCTGTGAGACGATCTCCATTTCAAAGTTTCATTAGTTAAAAGTTCGACCAATTCCTCGTAAATCTGAACCTCTGCTGTTTTAATATTTACAAAAGGGTTCATATACCCATTGAGGGACTTCGAGGGAACAAAATATCTTTAAAATGGTCAGAAAAGTCCATGTGCAAAGAGTCAAGGTGTTGACAATATTCTTGTGCATGTGCATCATCAGAGAGAATTTTGCCTGCATGGCTGAACTCATTCAAACCAAAATTCTGCAAAAACAAAATCAGTTTTTTTAGAAAGGCGAAAATAACTTATTTTGTAGGAATCGAATTGAGCTCGTCGCCTTGAAATTGTAAATTAATGCCATTAAATTTTACAGATAAATCAGCCAAAGTCTTCCTTAAATTCTAGCAATCTGTCTCTTAGAGCTACATTTCTGTTTTCGAGGAACTCAAGCACAGAGTCGAAAAGATTCCAATACCTATTGAGACAGAAGCTCTTGGAAAGTCAGTGAATATCGGTGTATCTTGCAAGCGATTGAATTCTTCATCGTTTTTCTTACACAGTTGTCTAAATAATCGATCTTAGAGAGCATTACTGTGAATTTTGTTCACAGCAGATACGGCATATTGCAATGATTGATGCAAACGGTCACTGAGATCTTTTCTTACTAAATACGGTCTGTGAATCACGCAGTGAACAGCTAAAATATCTGGTTCCTCCCTTTCCAATATGGCGATAAAAGGGCCCATCATTGCAGGAGCCTATCAGTGGCAATGGACATAATATTCACAAGAGGAATGTTTTTCTCTTTAAAATAATCTTTGACAGAACTAAAAATAGATTTACTTTTGATATTCACAATCAAGCTTCCTGCAAAAAGCATATCTTGAATAATTTTCCCTTCCTTTACAAATCGAACCTATGCCTACAGTAAAGCCTGCATTACCTGGCAAGGTAGATTCTTCAACTTGAAGGGAAAATTCGTTGGACATCAAAAGTTTGCATAAAGAAATTTCAACGTCTTCACCCATCTCATCATTTCGTCGCCACACTGAATCGTTGCTTATGGGATAGATTTTTTTTACATTGGATGATGTAAAACTGTTTCTAAAACTTCCTTGACAACCGGCAGTATCAACTCTACTCCGATGGCTTAGAGCTTTCCCAGATTTAGCAATAAATTTTGATATATTATAAGAAGCGATCAAACCATCGTCGCATTTTTGTGATGACGTTACTAGTAACCCTGAGACCGAAGGTGCCTTCAGAAACGTGAAAAAAGACGTTCGTCAAAAATGACAAATTTATATCTAGTTGTTTGAAAATGCTCTTGCAAACGGTAAGATTTCCTTACCTCATTAGATAAAACTTTATTACAAAGTAAACACATAGGTAATTGAGAGTTCAACAGTAATTGAACAAATCCCAACTTCAAGTACGTGACACTGTGTATTGATGACACTTCTTTTTGTCAACCGACATTGTTGGTGTCAGCAAAATACAAACGATGAAAGAAAATCAACTATTTCTTAAAATTAATAAATAATTTATGATACTATAAAGAGCTAATTCGCGTACGTACCTGGCCAAATAAACTATGAGATCTAATCGAATTTGGGGAAAAAAACCGCAAGAAAGCTAACGAAAACCATTATAAGAAACACGGGTCCAATTAAACATTCATGCTGAAAGCAAAGAATTTGCTGAAGTATTTGCAAAGAATTGAAGAAATTTGCTGAAAGCGCATGTACTGCAATTTCCACCAAATGGCTTGAATGAGTCAGAGGCAAAAACTACTGGCTCATGCGCTGAGCTGTGTTGGTTTGGATCGAAGAATAGGTGTCGTATAAGTTCGTTTCATTGCTGTTTCAAATAGTGTATAGGATAGTTTTTATTTATTACATTAATTTAATCTTTTTTTCTTTATTATAAATTTTTTTATTAAATTAATCTTAATTTAATAATTTTATTTGTAAGTTTTAAAATTAAATTTGAATGACAAAACATGCTCAACGCCCCCCTACCGCCCAAAACATACCCAACGCCCCCCTACTGCCCAAAACAAGTTCACCACCCCTCAGCATAGACCCACCGCCCCCAGGGGGGCGGTATCGCCCCCGTTGAGAACCAATGNTGTGGTTGAAGCGAGCCGGGAGCAGAAGTCGTATCAACCAGCCACCGTTGGGACTCAAACCTGGGTCACCTCATTGGAGGGAAAATGATTCTTTCGCTGAGCTAGCGTGTCTCGTTAAATAACATTCACACTATATTCACCCGATAACGAAGTGGTTGTCACCGTTTTTCAGAGATGCTTTTTTATTGCCTTTATTTTTGAGGAAAGTTACAACTGGAAGTTTCTGATGTCATACAACTATAAATAATAAAAAATGACTAACTATTCCTTTATAATTTAATTCATACAGTATATACCATATAGCTTTTTTTTTAATCAAAAGTTACAATTATATGGGTTATCACATCGACTGAAGATTTTGACACATTTAATAAACTGAATTCCACTTCTTAGCTGCATACTATTAAGTAACATTAGTTAAGTAGCACTAAAAAAGTTCACACCACAAACGAGTGTTATTGTATAATAAATAAAAAGCAAACAAAACATTTTTACCTTCTCTTCTTGAATTCATTTTAGTTTACCAATCAATTAGCACTTCAATCACTAAAAGGAGTATCTGCTATTTGATACAATTGACTACTGTTGTGTTATCTTTTTTTTTATCTCACTATAACACCCTTCCACTACCCACGATAGGGATTTTTATTGTCGGTTATTTAATCTAGCATAAATAAAAAAAAAACGTATTTAGAATATTATCCCCTCACCTGTTTTAATGCTACCTCTCGCAGGCAAAGCGTAGAGAAGAAATGCAATTGGAACGTAATATTAGTCCAAAAAACACGGTGCATAAAATAACGCGTAATATTACGTCAAAAGCACATTAAAGCCATTTAGTAAGCAAACTTTATTTTTCACTAATAAAACAATTATTTCATTCTTAATTCTTATTTTGGTAAAACATCGCACTGTCTAGTGTAACAAAGCTTGCTTCTAATTTTTGACTAAAATAAGAGTTTTCTTTTAATTTAAGTGGCGAAATAGCCATTTATTTGAAACATTAACAAACATCGCTAGAAATTGCACGCATCATTGTAATATAAAAAAAATTGGGCATTCATGTAATTTATATTTTTTGGAGATCTGTAAAGTTAGTGAATAATTAATGTACATTTAAACTATATTTAAGCAAATTCTTGTGTGAAAGGGCACGTTTCAAACAACTGCTTTTAAACCATTATTAGAAAGGCGAATGATTGTGCGATTTTAGGAAATTGACACTATTGTAGTTTGTTTATATAAAGTGTACTTCTTATCGGATTTAATTGACAAATTGATTAGAGCACATATAATACCAAGTAAGTTTCAATACTTTTTCCTGAATGATAAAAAATATTGATTGGGATCGATTACTTTTCATCCTCACCCAATAGGACTCGTATTTTATTTTTCATTCTTTTAGATGATTCTTATGAAGCTGTTTCTTCTGAGGAACCATCTAAAAGAATGTGAAATAAAATAAGATCTGAGTCCTATTGGGTGAGGATGAAACTAGATGTTCGTTGATGGAATAGAGTCCAGAAAATGATCATAACAAAAAAGTCCAGTTCGTATGCTTGTTTTGATTGCGTTTACTTATCATCTTTGAGGTGGAGTAGATCTGAAAATGGAGGGTAGTCCGCAGTATATATATTATCGGGAAAACAGACTGCTGCAGAACAAAACATGAAGAATACGGGGAAGCTTATAACCCTTTTAATTTGATGGGCAATAACTAATTATACTGCTGAGTGCCGCGGGTTCAGGTTGAAGAAAATAATGATGAGGGAATTGGCGAGCACAGGCATTGTAGGGGGATGGATTATAAACTCCAAGATAGCGAGGAGCTGCTTCACCTCAAGAACGCTATTCAGTTTAAAAAAAAAAAAAAAAAAAAAAAAAAAAAAAAAAAAAAAAAAAAAAANTCTTCTCTGTCAACTATGTATCATGATTCAGCTCTATCCGGAGCATACATCTACTTATGTAGTAGGTCATAGTGTGAATGCCTTCATGCGTTCATGTCTCCGTATTTATACAGGAGCATGTTTCTTCCTCAATATGAACGTTCTAAGTGAGCTTGTTTCTTCCCCACTAGTATTTACCAGCAGATTTTTATGTTTGGAAGGGGCAAAGAACCTTAACCAAAGCAATGGCAGCATCACGAGTGTCAATCAAAGGAGCCGACAAGCAGGTGTAACTGGTACCTGGCAGGCTAAAAATTTCCAAACATTGATGGTCGTTAACTCAAAAATTGAATTGGCTGTTCAAATAAAAGGGTCTCATTGAATGGTTGTCTTAAAAACACTTGTGTTTTTAGATTTCTGATCCTCATTTCTCAAGATTCTATTTAATCATTTCCAATACTTTTTTTATTAAAATGAATAAAATCATTTTTTAATAAACTGAGTAAAATAAGAAACTTACCTTTATAAGAAATTTTCAGAATTTGCCCATCTACTATTCCTAAGGATGCTAAAGTACTGAATTGTGGCAAAGCCCTTTCCTTATCATCAATAATCATCCATCCAGAATTATAGGCCACATCTTTTATTGTGCAGTAACTGGAAATAAGTGTAGCAATAGTAGCTTTTGGTGAAGTTTCAATGACTATAGGAGAGTCTGATGATGCCTCTAGAATTACCTGCATTGAAGAGGCTATAATAAAAAATGTCATTTTAATTGAATCCAATTTTCGAAGTCGAGAATATCATAGGTAATCATCAGAGTCTCACTAATTTTAATTGAATGCTACCAGAATAAGCCTCAAGTTTCGAAAATGAACATTCGAGTAACTATAGAACAAATTTTACTATAGGAGTATATTTTAGTATATATATATACACTATCTGGCCATTAATGACCGGACACCCCTCATTTCGGATACATGAGTTGCTAGTATCAAGTCAGTAGGGCGTAGGGCCACCACGCGCCCGAATCACAGCTTCTAACCCATCTAGGAAGGCTATCTACTAGGTGTTGGTACACGGCGGCAGGTATTGCCCGCCAATTCTCCTGTAACATGGCGAAGAGTTGAGTGGTGATTTTGTGTCGCTGTGATCTGGCCCTCAACCGGCGCTCCAACTCATCCCAGAGATGCTCAATTGGATTGATGTCGGGACTTTGGGATGGCCAGTCAAGCTCTTGCACCCCCATTTCATCAAACCAGTCCGTGATGGCATGTGCTTTATGAATGGCAGCGTTATCGTGTTGAAACACAAACGGGCCATTACCGAACTGTTGCCACAAAGTGGGAAGCGCGGAATTGTTCAGGATGTCTCTATACCATTCTGTGTTCAGGGTTCCACGCACTAACACCAAGGGTCCAAGGCCAAACCATGAGAAACAGGAACACATCATAATTCCTCCACCGCCTAACTTCACAATGGGGACAATGCACTCCGGTACGTACCGTTCTCCGGGCATTCGCCAGGTCCACACTCGTCCATCAGAGTGCCACAACATGTAGCGTGACTCATCATTCCACATAACGCTTTTCCATTGCTCTACTGTCCACTGGCGACGTGCTCTGCGCCACTGAAATCGGTGGCGGGCGTTTGGTGGAGAGATGTTTGGCTTATGTGCTGCTGCTCGTCCATGGAATCCTT